CTTCTTGTGAGAGGAACCAATGGCCATCACAGGCTTCTGTGTACTGATTTGAAGAAAGGGCAGGACAGACACTTTGACAACCAGCAGTGAGTCACTGGGCATGTTAGTTTTGTGTATCTATTCCTGAAAATACAAAAGAAATTCATTAATTAACATAATCTCTGCATAGAAGTTCTGACACCATAAAATGAGTCTTGCTGGGTTTTCTTGATTTTGATGATGTAGCAGCTCTGATTTCTGTTGTGGTTAGGCTGTTAATAATGGGACCAATACTGTACAACATCTTCATTAATGGCCTGGAAAATGGAACGGAATGCACCCTCAGCAAGTTCAGAGATGGTACTGGGAGGAGTGACTGATGCACCAGATAGTTTTGCCATTCAGAGGGACCAGGACAGGTTGGAGAACTGGGCAGAGAAGAATCTCATGAAGTTCAACAAGAGGAAGTGCAAAGTCCTGCATCTGGGGAGGAATAACCTCAGCCACCAGTAGATGCTGGGGACCAACTGGCTGGAAAGTAGCTCTGCAGAGAAGGACCTGGGGATCCTGGTGTACAATAAGCTGGCCATGAGCCAGCGATACACCCTTGAGGCAAAGGTGGCAAACAGTATCCTAGGCTGAATTAGGAAGAGTGTTGCCAGCAGGTCAAGGGAGGTGATCCTCTTCTCAGAACTGGTAAGGCCACCTCTAGAATACTGTGTCCGGTTCTGGGTCCTCAGTACAAGAAAGATACGGACACACTGGAGCGAGTCCAGCACAGGGCCACGAAGATGATCAAAGGACTGGTGTGTCTGGTTCTGTAAGGCCTTTGACACAGTCCCCCACAACATTGTTCTCTCTAAATTGGAGAGAGACAGATTTGATGGATGGACTGTTCGGTGGATGAGGAATTGGTTGGATGGTCACATCCAGAGGGTAGTGGTCAATGGCTCGATGTCCAGATGGAGGTAGTGATGAGTAGTGTCCCTCAGGGGTCTGAGTTGAGACCAGTACTGTTCAATATCTTCATCAATGACATAGACAGGGGGGTTGAGTGCATCCTCAGCAAGTTTGCACACAACACCAAGCTGAGTGGTGCGGTTGACACACCTAAGGGACAGGATGCCATCCAGAGGGACCTGGACAAGCTCAAAAAGTGGGCCCATGTGAACCTCATGGGGTTCAACAAGGCCAAGTGCAAGGTCCCACACCTGGGTCAGGGCAACCCCTGGTATCAATACAGGCTGGGGGATGAAGGGATTGAGAGCAGCCCTGTGGAGAAGGACTTGAGGGTACTGGTGGATGAAAAAATTGGACATGAGCTGGCAATGTGTAGTCGCAGCCCAGAAAGCCAACCGTATCCTGGGCTGCATCAAAAGAAGCATGGCCAGCAGGTCGAGGGAGGTGATTCTGCCCCTCTTCTCTGCTCTGGTGAGACCTCACCTGGAGCACTGCATCCAGCTCTGGAGCCCTCAGCAGAAGAAGGATGTGGAACTGTTGGAGTGGGTCCAGAGGAGGGCCACAAAAATGATCCGAGGGCTGGAGCACCTCTTCTCCGAGGCCAGGCTGAGAGAGTTGGGGTTCAGCCTGGAGAAGAGAAGGCTGCGAGGAGACCTTATTGTGGCCTTTCAGTACTTGAAAGCAGTTTATAAGAAAGATGGGGACAGAATTTTTACTAGGGCCTGTAGTGACAGGACAAGAGGTAGTGGTTTCAAACTAAAAGAGGGTAGCTTTAGACTGGATATAAGGAAGTTTTTTATGATGAGTGGTGAAACACTGGAATAGGTTGCCCAGAGAGGCGGTAACTGCCCCATCCCTGGAAACATTCAAAGTCAGGTTGGTCGGGGCTCTGAGCAACCTGATCTAGTTGAAGATGTCCCTGCCCATGGCAGGGGCGGTTGGACTAGATGACCTCTAAAGGTCCCTTCCTTCTTCTATGATTCTGTGATCTTTTGTATGAGGACAGGCGGGATCTTACCAATGTGTATGAACACTTGACGGGAAGGAATGAAGATGAGGGAGCCAGACTTCTCAGTAGTGCCTGCTAGGACAAGAGGCAAAGGACACAAATTAAAAAGAAAGAAAGCCTATCTGAACACAAAAACCCCCTTTTTAACTGTGAGGGTGGTCAGACACTGGAACAGGTTGCCCAGAGAGGTTGTGCATTCTCCACCTGTAGAGATACTCAGAACCTGACTGGACATGGTCCTGGGCAACCTGCTGCAGCTGACACTGCTTGAGCAGCAAGGTTGGACTAGATGATCTCAAGAGGTCCCTTCCAACCTCAACTGTTCTGTCATTCTCTGTGCATCCCTCATGTCCCAGTATATTGCAGTAATCTTCAGCTCGGCATAGTAATGTCGTTCCTTCTGAAGCCTTAACTCTTTTATAGTGATTCTCTCACATGTACATATTGAAAGGCTGAATTTCTTTGCTGTTGTTTGACTCAGAACTAGCAGATAATAGGAGTCCACCTAACATTTCCACTCTGCTGTTATTTATGCCTATTAGTCCAGTTTTATCGTAACATTTGTAAGCCACAGTCTGTGACTCCAAATAGCCACCAATTTCTCAATAACTTTTAAATTGTTCTCAAACACAGGGAAAATAAATCCTTGCATGTCAAGATTCACCAAGGGGATGCAAATGCACTGCCATGTGCTGGAACTGGCAGTCCAGAGTTAAGCTTGCTCATGTAGTGCACAGGGAGAGGTAGACATCGAAGGCTTGGCTAAGCCTGACTCACTCACTGGCCTTTGGTGCAGCGAGTTTATTAACACCCAGTTTTTATATCCGCAGTCAAGTAAGTTGTTTTTTTTTAGATGAGACCTCTACTTGACTTCCCTGTCCACCTACTTCCTCTGGCGTGAGGTTCTGTTACCCAGTGTGTGCTTACTGGGTAAGATGGGGAGACAAGAGATTCTGGGCTGATGCTAGAAGGCCAGCAGGATTTGTGCCTGGATTAAGGAGCACCTTGATTTGGATTTGTACGGATTTGTACTAATTGAGACATGAGGATAGTGGGATTTAAATCAAGGTTTTTGAAGTAGTGTGCTCATGCTCAGTGGAAGACATTCACAGATGCCATGAGATGGTTGACATTCAAACCCTAAAAAGAATTAACAGCTTTATGACATGGAGATACCTTTTTCTCTTTGGCATTCTTACATAGGAACACATTTTTTAAATGAGTTGACTGAAGCATAGCTTTTCTGGTGGAGGATGGACCTGAACCTGCATTTACCACAGTGTTGATATTTTACTGCTGAGCTACTGAGTGAGCGGGGAATCCTGCTCCTCCTTTGAGTGAAACTTCAGTGTATTCAGACCATATTTACCAGACTGGGGGCCACAGGAGAGAGAACTCCCTGTTTTGGTTCAGTTCCCCGCTGTCTCGCCCTTTCTCCTTCAGCAGCTCCTCTGTTCTTTTTCAACAGACAATTGAAGGTACAGGGACCTTGGGCACTGGGGCTTTAAGTGTCTTTATGTGTAAGTGGCAGCTGAGGATGGGTTTTAGGGATGGAAAGCTTTGACTTTTATTGTGTTCTGCAGATTTTAATGGCTTGTAGAGCAAGTCCCACAGGATTTTGCCAACAGAAATGAGTGCTAAAGAAATTTAGGCACCTGTAGTTGGATGGGGTTTTGAGAACACCAGTCACATTTAAGTGTTGGATTTCAGTTGGCATTTGGGTTTTTAGGATCTTGCAAGATTAGTCATTTTTGCCTGCCTGATCCTTCTTCATTAATATAAATTTAAGTTTCACTTGCCTTTCAACAAATGCACCAAGCCTTTTTCTTAGGAAATTTGTAATATACATAGACGCTGTTTATACCACAGTTCTTCAAGTACAGAAAGTTATGCCAGTGGGGTTTTTTTCCAATTGTTTAAAATCTGCACAAGTTAGAGAATTGGTCTAAAAAGAAACCAATTCTTGAAGGTAATTCAATACAGCAAAATAAGAAGTAGTCAGTACTTTAAAAGGAATAGTTAGGTGCACAGGTACAAGATAGGAAACAGCAGACTGGGGAATAATTGTCAACAATCAGTCAGGGATTTATGATGGCTTACAAACTGAATGTGAGTCAATGCTGCAAGATTTCTGCCCTTTCTGTTTTTTCTGTGTGAGCTTTATTAAAATTATGTTACCAGTGGTTAACAGATTCTTGCAGTGCCCGGTATAGCCACTTGCTGGCAGCAAGAGTCTAAAAATGTATTGAAAGAGATTTTCTTAAGATCCAGTATTACTAAGCAACAGCACTATTATATACAAATGTTATACAGAAAAAATATGTTTTAGGTCTGCTGAGGCATCTGATTTTCTTCTGCAGAAGCATTTGAAACAGGCATCAGGAAAAAAACCGAAAAGCTGTTAATTAGTTTAAAAATGGGTACATCTGTTGAAAGTGGCTCAAAGTTATCAGAAAAACAGTAGCAGTGTTACTTTTCCAAGAACAGGTATGGTTTTGTGGTTCTGTACTCAGTGTGGAAGCTCAAATGTGCAGCCTCCAAACATACTCCTAACGTTTTGAACTGAAGCTTGTGAGGCACATATGCTCCATACCTGTGTGGGATCCACATAAACACGTAATCAAAACTCATATATTGTATTTTACTAACTATGCTTTTTATATTATTGTGAATATGTCCACTTTCATTACTTCTGGATGACAGAAATTTTTAATGTCTTTCTTTTAAAGCCCTTAAACATCGTCAGGTCATTGGCAATGGCATAATATCTTTGACTTTATAACAGATTTAGTCTCTCTTACTCTGGATTTTCACTGCTAGGGAAGTCAACAGCTGAAGTGCTCTACTTTTGAAACTGAGATCTCAGTCTAACCCTTGTTAAGAAATTGCATGAGTTCTTAAGAAGGTTTTGAGTCTTGTAGTTTATGCAAAAATTGCAAATAAAATATGTGTGTGTATATATATAGATGACTTCTAAAGCGAATGTTAATTGCATACTTTTTAGAAAGTTGTTCCATTCCTTTTTGTAAACAATTTTTTTTTTAATGTTTAGATTTCACAGAAATTAAGTAATGAAGATCTCTGTCCAGATATAAGCCTCTCTCTGGATGCCCTTCCGGAGGATATAATAATAGTTCCAAAGAAACAGACACCACAAGATATATTTCTGCATGTTTTAGAGGATTGCCAGAGAACATGCATGACCATCATTGACACAGATAACACAGTAAAAGAACATTCCCCTACACATGATACAGATCTTTCACTGTCATCCCCAGGGAAGATTTTCATGGAAGCATTCACTGAACAGAGTATAGAGAGTGGTGAATTTGAAATCAGTGATTTGTTAAGATCCCTCAGTGATTCTGAGAGTCTTAAAATGATAAACCCATTGCCTGACAAGTTAGAGTGTCAGGGTCATGCCTTTTCCATTGATCCATCAGCAGATGAGAGCAGTGATGCCCTGCCAGTACAGCTTGTGACAGCTCTGAACGCCTTGTCAGGATCTGTCATACAACCTGTCCCTCCTGTAGTGCCAAATGAGAGACAGCTTAACATTGAGGGAGAGCCGCTAAATTCAGAACCCAGTATTCCCCAGTTAGATGATGACTGTACACAAATAAAAAACATGATTGAGCCTCAGTTTGCTACAGTTCAGGTGGAAGAAATAAAAACCTTAACAGAATCTAACTTTCAGAGGATACCAAATGAGCAAGTATGTACACAGTTTAATTAATATTTGAAAATTCATGTTTTTCATAAAATATTTTATAGAACATGTTTAATACATTTCAGTTGTTTTTGTTTTAAAAGTCCAGTAGTGTTTTTCTGTTTTGATATATCCATGTTATGAAAATGGCTGAGCTTGATGGGATGGGAAATCCTAGTAAAGTTAATTCAGTGTCTGCTGTGGAAATCTAGAATCAGCATGGGAGTTTTAAAAACTCCTGGTCCCCCTGTACATCTTCTGCGTCTTGCATTCTCTCCATGCTTTGCAAGTATTACAAAAGAAATTATAGCTACGTCTTTCCTGTAGACTAGAAAGATTTCTGACAGTGACTTTTTTACATATATATTTAGAAGTGCATTTATTTTGTTTAGTTCTGCCTATACGAAACTTACTGAAAAAATTGAGGCATAGTTTTATGTTCATGTGCCCCCCTGAAGCAGCCAGTGTGTATCGGTACAACGTATGATCCTTCTTTCTATTTTCTTCTCTTACCCTGTGCTGTTCTCTCCACAATATTATATCCTGTGCTTAAAGGTGATCTGGAATAGGTCATTTAGACTCAACAACACGAATGCAAAAATCTGGAAAGGAACATGAAGTGACGCTAAAGGAACTAAAGCAATGCTATAGACCCTTCCTGTTTAGGTTATAATAAGGGAAAGA